AAAAAAAAAAAAAAAAAAAAAAAAAAACAAGAAATTTAAATTTCATAAAAAGAAAAACAGAAAGCAAGCAAAAATGGAGGGGAAGAATAAGAGGAAGAAGAAATTAGCGTTGTTTGAAGAAGAAGACGATCCACTGTTGTTGTTGATAGACTTTTCAGATTCCAGAAGGGATTTCAATTTGAAATTAGGGTTTGAGCCGTACAAGGCCTGAACTCCTTCCACGTCATCGATCCTAAGGTCCACCTTCTTCCCCCTCGGGCTCAGACTCGGATACATCACAGCTTCTTTCACCGCAGAGTGTGCCAGCCCAAGAACGTGCCCTATCTCATGCGTCACTACCGATTCCAAATCCACCGCCACTTTCGATTTCTCCTTTTCAAAATCCACCGCCCACCGCTCCGCCGCGTCCAGGTGTAGCCTACCGTTTTCGGGCGAAAACGCGTGCGCCAAAATGCCTAATACTCCGTCGAACGACTCTCCGTCTCCGTGATCGCCGCGGAAGAATCCGATTCGTATATCCGAAGATTCGTAGTCGGAAGACTCTGTGAAGTTTAACGGAATCACCGCGGACCATCGCGAGAACGATCGCCGGACTACTTTTCGAATCTCCGATGAAGTTAGGTATTCGATTGTGTAATCCGGTGAGAGAGCGTAGGTTAGCGTCGATGATCGAATCCATCTCGGCTGGCCGTTGAAGAAAGCGTATCGTCTCGTTGAGCGAATCGTTGTTGATACGCTGTGGTTGATTTTAATTAGGTCACTCATTCCGCATCTCGGCGACATGATGCTCGCGATTGTTTCGGAATCGAGCTTTCCAGTGACTGATAAACCTAATCGCTTTTGATAAAGAATCAACGCCGATACGAATTGATCGTCGAAGGAATCGGAGAAGTTGTTTTCAGGAGGAATCGGAAGGTAACCGAATCGATTCAAATACTTCTTCAACTCCGACATGCCGTTCACTTCGCGGCCCTTGCCAGCGTCGAGGAACCGAGCAAAGTTCCTCCATGCGTAGTTGTTATCGCCGTCGAGAGACGCCGTGGCCGCCGTGAAATCGGCGAAAGTTGTGGCGGGAAAAACAGAGTAAAGAAGGTAGAAGAAGCAGAGGTAATAACGGAAAAACGGAAACATGGGGATATTATTTGGTGGCGGTTATCGGGACAAGAGAAATGGAAAGGGCAAAAAAAAAGCTTTATTTCCAATGGATTTTCTGATTATTTATTAATAATTATATATTTTTTTAATTTATGAAATAATAATTAATTGATTTTAGAAAAAATGGTTGAAACTGGATTTGGGGGAAAAGAAAACAGGGGAGGATGGGAAAGTTAAGAAGATTCTGGCGTGCTTCCCTTTATATTGCAGATTCCCATTTTTCTTTCATTACCATTGCCATTTTTAATAAATTAAAATAAACTTATTATTAATTTTTTTAATTTAATAATTATGATATTAAATTTGGGCTCTGTTAAATGAACACGACTCTCAGTAGTTTAATTGTCCACTCTGACATAAGCTCTCATGTGTTTGTTTGGGCTTCCCAAAATGTCTCATTTCAATGGGGAGAATATTCT